TAGTATTAAATTTCCAAGTCACAATCATTTTATTCAACACCGGAAAATAGCGCATGTTTGAAGGTACCAATTTTATGGGCGTTGTGGGGGTGCTATTCCTTCCCCACGCGTAACGACTCCCCGGACCCAACCTGTTTTTCGTAGATCGAAATCTATCTTTTTCATAAACTTTAAACCCGTTTTTATAGTTTTATTAAAAAGATAAACTTTTGGGTGACCAATCACACCCTAACAAAGATTGGTGGCGACTCCCCTCCCTTTTTATTTCTCTCAATTTTAAAATACTTATTTTTACATCTGACGGTCCCAAAATCGTTACGACAATATTTAAGTCTAATAAACAAAGAAAAATGAGACTTGTATCATTAATGTCAATTTCTTTCGCATGAGATTTATATGGATGATTTTTCACATGGGTGCATGGAAAATAAGGAATAAATAAAACATATAAACCTTAAAGTTAAAATTGGTCAAAATGAGTAAAATTAGAGTCAATCCTCAAAGTTCACGATTTAATTGAAATCAGTGGGGTTAAAAATTAAATTTGGTGATTTTTAAAACACTAAAAATTTTTATTGCAACCAAGAAGTATAAAATTATCAAAATATCCTTATAAGGATATTTTCGTAATTTGGCCTTTTCAAGATTGAATTTTCATGAAATTTTTTAGATTTTAATTTTATAATATTTCATGATTTTTAGTGCCTTTGATTCACAGTCATACCCCGAGAAGTTTGAAATTACCAAAATACTCCTATAAAAGTATTTTCATAATCTGATCTTTCCGAGCTTGGATTTTCACAAAACTTTTTAGATATTAATTTCAGATTATTTCATGATTTTTGATACATTTAAAATTATAGCAATATCTGAAAAAAGTGTGAAATTACTAAAATACTCTTATAAGGGTATTTTCATAATTTATCTTTTTTGAGTTGAGATTTTCATGAAACTTTTCATATCTCAATTTTATAATATTTCATAATTTTAAAAATCTGATCTTTGCAGTAATTAATATGGACTATTGGATCTTTATTTGATCTTGATCCAATGGTCAAAGGTGATCCCTTTGAAAGAATAAAAAGGACAAGCTTTGACCCTTGGATGAGATCTCATCCAAGGGTCCATGTTTAAAAAGAATGAAATCTTTTTCTTTGCTGACCATTAAAAGAGGAGCTGGGTGGTTCGGTCAAAAAAGGAAAAATGGGAAGGTTGAACAAAAAGGAAAGAACAAAACGTAAAAAAAGAAAGGAGAAAGAAGTTGTTGAAAATAAGGGAGGTAGCCGAATAGAGAAGAAGAAGGAGGAGGAAAAGGAAAAGAGAAAAACGAGAGGGGCTGCCAAAAGAAAGGGGCTGGAGAGGAAGCTGCTGAAGGAAGAAAAGAAAAGGAAGTTGCCAAAAGGAAAAGAAGAGGAAGCTGCCGAAAGTGGAAGAAAGGAAACAAGCCTAGGTAGAAAATTTTTCAAGTTGATTTACCTTGTTCTTTCACACGGCATGGCTTCAATTGCTTATCCTTTTTTTGTTGTCTTTAGCTATTGCCGTGTTCTCACTTATATAATTTAGTTGTTGACTGAACTAGTTTCCTTTTCTTTATATGCCATATGCATTTTCAACTTGACTTTATGGAAGTTGTGGTCAATGCATCTCCAATTTGATTTGTTTAAAACTAAGTTGGACTTAGTCATATTCATTGAATAATATTGGTCTTTGGCGTGAGGAATACTCATGCAAGGTGGAATTTTTGTTTTTATTTTGTTTGTTAATGATATTATTTTACCTAGCTTAAAATCATCTCTTATTCTTCTTTTTGGATTGTTTACAACTTTATAAAGTTTTGAAAAGATGCTGAAATTTTTACAATAATGCTTATTTTCATATATATTTTATATCACCATTCATATTTCTCTAATGTTGTTTCAAATATGAGTATAATTTAAATCCCATGCATTTTCCTTTAATTGTAAGTTTGGTTAAATTTTCATGTTCACTTTAATCTTTATGCAATTTAGTTTTTACACCCTAATTTGTTTTAAATGTAAAATTGTTTTTCATTTTTAATAATAAATTGAATGAAATTTCTCGAGGATGATATTTTAGAGAAATTCGAATAGTGATTCTCTAAAATATCTAAGTGATAATATTTTTCTAAAAATACTACTAAAAAAATGGAGTATTTAAAAAAAAATTCAATAAAAAGTTTTATTTGTCAATTTTTTCTAAAATTTTAATTGATGTTAATAATAATGTGTAGTGACCGCTTTAGTAATAAAATTGGTGTAATCAAAGTTTAAAAATAAAAATAATTAATTAAGTATGAAAAGATAAAGTGAATAAAAATTTTCGATGATAGGATTTTAAGAAGTCCAAATAGAGATTCTTAAAAAATCTCTAGGTGAGAAAATTTTTTTAAAATACCGTCAAAGTATCAAAGTATCTAGGAAAATTTTCAATAAAATTTTTATTTACTTTATTCCTTTCAAAAGTGTTTGGAAGATAAGTAAAGAAAATTAAAGCCTAATCAATATTTTTGTATGCATATTCAACTTGATTGTTTGTATTATATATTCTTATGTGCATAAAAATTTTTGATGATGGGACTTCAATAAGTTCAAGTAGTGATTCTCAAAAATTTCTTAGTTAAGAAAAATCTTTTAAAAATTATCAAAGTATTATAATATTTAGAAGTTTCTTTTCAACACAAAGAATTTTTATTGTTTAATTATTTTTCTTAATTGAAATAGTTTTTTTTATAAATAAAAATGTTTTAAGAAATAGATGTGTTTGTAGATAAATATAATATTACATGACTTTCAATAATTTTCAAAATCATAAAAAAAAAAATCTCTAAAGATGAGATTCTAAAGAAATCTGAATAGTAATTCTTTAAAAATCTTTAAATAAAAAATTTTATTTAAAATGTCACCAACATATTGGAGCATATAGATAAATTTTCGATTAAAATTTCTTGTTTTCTTAGAAATGAGTTTTTAAAATATTATTTGTCTAAAAAAAGATATCATATTTTATGTTTTCAAAAAATAAATACCCGAAATAAATATGAACCATTGAGAATAGGATTTTTTTAAATTCCGAGTAGCAATTCTTAAAAGATTCCTTAGATAACATGATTCCTTTAAATATTACCAACGGATTAGAATATTTTTAAAAAATTTTTTAATATAAGGTTCTTATTTATTCTAGTCTACTAAAAATAAAAATATATATGTTTTTTAAGAAAATTAATTTTTAAGTATCAAAATTAAAATCATTTTTTTCAATATTACAAAATAATACATAATTAATTGATACCATTTTAACCAAATACTGTAGGGTATTAATCATTCTTCACGCATAATCAACTCTCAAACTCAAGCTATTTTTCGCAAACTTAAAAATTATTTTTTAATAAACTTTAATTAATTTATTAAAAATATCAAGTTTTAATAGGTATCAAATCACATTTAAATAAAAAAATGATGATGATTTTTTTTTATTATTTTTAAATTCATCTAACAATCCTCGAAATTATTACGATAACGTAGAATTAATTTGTGACAATGTAGTATTAATATAATTTACAACGTAGTGTTATGTTGTAATTAGTGTCAACGTAGTATTAATAAAATTTACAATTTCATTTGACATTCATATCCATTGAGTAGAAAAACTAAAGCCACAAGCACTATTATCAGGCTAGCTTGTAGTCGCCAGATTGAAAGAGGACGCTACATGTGCTGAACTGATCTTCAACCTTCCAGTGGTGGGTGCCTTGTCCTATCAGCATCTCTCAACATCCCACTATGCCACCATCATCTCTAGTTATAATCACCCACAAGGTTAAAACTTGAAGTTCACTTACATCCAACGTTACCAAATGAGAAAAATATTAATCCCTAGAATTAGTTAAGGTGATATTTAAAGAAAGAAAAATATAATTAAGATATTATTTATTTTAATTTAATTATAAAATTAATGTATTAAAAAAGTGTTTGATATATAGTGATTACTTTAAAAGTTACAGTAATTATTTGTGAATTACATCAACTCGTTTGGTAATAATTTATAAATTCATATGTCAATGATCTTAAATCATTAGGTAATAAGATTATTATTTTAAAAAGTGATTTAATTTTTAATTTAAAAGATAAAAATAATTTTATCATCGAAAATAATTTTTAATATTATTTTTGATTAATTTATCCTGACAAAAAATTTAATAACATCATTTTAAGAAACTAGCTAGGAAAAATTTTCAAAAACCGAATTTTAATAACTTATTTTTTAAAAAACAAACTCTTTCATTATAATTGAATAAATATTTATTGATTAAAAATAAAAGTATTTATTTCATAATGTTTTAGAAATTATTTTAATCAAAATTTTTTATATTTTATAGTTTTCTGCAACAATTAACTATTTTATAAATTGTTAATTCAATATTTAAATTTGACTCTTTTTTTGTAAGATTATTTTGTATCTTTTGTACTTTATGATTTATTTTTTTCATATAATATCAAACACAACAATTTAAAATTAATAATGATTTATAATATTATACCAAATATTTAAATCTAAGATCACTAGAAATCAAATCACTTTGATGATTTGTAAATAATTCCAAACAATACCTAAATGCAAAAAAAAAAAAAAAAAAATTCTTTAATAGTTTTTTAATTATCCTTAAAACATTAATGTTTATTGATACCCATTAACCTGACAATAAATTAATTATCTTAATCAAGAAGAACGATGCAATGCTGACAACAACCTAACTAAACAAGGGAAATTTTTTGCATAGACAAACCCGGAAATGTGTAATGCACCAAACCCAACTCTCAAGAGTAATTTCTATACCTTTTAATAATGGTAGCATAACCATAAACCACCTTTTTTTTTTTTCTTTTCTAAACTGGGATTTTATTGCATTTCATCATGATAAAAAATACACAAATAGAGCGCACTGTCACCAGTACCATAATAAAGTAGAGAGACCAGTGCCATTAAATCAAACACAAGCTCCATTCATACAATAAACTCTTCTCTATACAATAAATTAGGACATGTCCATCTACACATTATATCATAACATTTTTCTTCACCTTATATCTGATTGTAATAACATTTTCATATCTATATTTCCATTGCAAAGAATCTGAGTCAGACGAGCAACAATTTTAGAGCACAAAATCAATCAAAGTTGTTCTGAAGGAGTTTTCAGAAGCATACTTGATGAAGAATGTTCTCGAGTCTCATTTGGGAGAGATATTGAAGAATCAATCCATGGTCCATCCATAGATGTGCTTCTTGGAGCCTGACTATCATGAGAATATATAGAGACATTCGTCTGGCTGTCGTGTGATAGCAACTCAAAGGCTTTAAACCTCGCATCTTGCTCCACACCCTTGCGCTTAATTAATGGAGCTTGGACAGGAATCTTGCCTTCCATCATACTTACTACAGAAGACATGGATGGCCTTAGAGTGGGAGATGGATTCGTGCACAATAGAGCCAAGTTAAGCATCCTTAATGCCTCTTCTTTTGAGTATTTTGAACCGAGACTTGGATCAACAAGCTCTAAGAGGTTTCCTTGCTCTTGCAGGACATAGGCCTACAATCATAGTCGGCATAAAAGTTAGCTAATGAGTCGAGGATCCCATATTTGCATAACAGGTAAGAAAAACAAAGAAACAACATAAAGTCCGAAACAAAAGATTACGCAGTAGAAAAGCAAAAGCTGATAAATAGAGCTCACCCAATCAAGGAGATAAACAAACTCCTCCTTAGGCCTGTAATTTGTGTTACTCTTCCCACTGACAATCTCCAAAAGAACAACACCAAAGCTATAAACATCTGCTTTGTCTGTCAAGTAACCCCTCATTGCATATTCAGGCGCCATGTAACCTCTGGATAAGAGGACACAGAAAATGTTGAATATAGCAGCAGAGAACCAGAAGCCTCAAAGCAGCATCAGAGAATACTACCCCAGTCAAAGTTTGACATATTACAGGTAATTCACATCATACTACTAAGCCATCTGCTAATTCCCTAATGCCATCTTTTTTTATTGGAACAAAAAAGGCCGCAGCATGGGATAAGGAAAAGGGTTGTGCAAGTAGTGAGATTTGAAATACCACCTCTTAAAAGTGATTAAACGAACCCAGCTGAGTTAAAGCTCTCTTTTTACTAAAAGCTGATATATATATATATATATATACATATATATATTTATTTTGTGGACTAAACATCAACAGATATATATATATATATATACATATATATTTATTTATTTTGTGGACTAAACATCAACAGAAATGTCTTTATAAGAATAGACAACTTTTTCTCCATATTATCCAAAATTAAGGGAAAAAACTCTTCGAGCTCATATTTCAATATTTAATCTGTTATAACAGAAAAATAAAAAATTCAAGCAAAAAGATTCAGGGAGTGAGAGAGGGAGAGATGAGGGGAGGAGACTCACATTGTTCCAGCTATTCTTGTGCTGATATGGGTGTTCTCTTCCTCATCGAGTTTTGCTAATCCAAAGTCAGAGATCTTAGCATTTAGATCCTTATCAAGCAGCACATTTGTTGCCTTAATATCTCTGTGAACAATCTTCAGTCTTGACTCCTCATGAAGATAAGCTAGACCTCTTGCTATTCCCAAGCATATTTTCTTTCTTGTTGACCAGTCCAATGTAATACGCTGTTCATTACGACCTGGAAAGAATGATTAAAAAAAGGAGACTGTTAGTCATCATTATCAATCTAGAACTACTGTTAGAAGTTATATAAGATGCTAGTTAGGCAATTACCAAAAAGTGCACGGGCAAGACTGTTGTTTTCCAAGTACTCGTATATCAGCAACAACTGATTTCCTTCAATACAACAGCCATAAAGCTTCACAAGATTTGGGTGTTGCAATGCAGAAATCATCCCTATCTCATTCACGAATTCACGGTTTCCTTGCTTAGATTTAGAGGATAGCTGCTTAACTGCAATTACCGTACCATCTGATAGTACACCCTACAAACAAGCAGACTGAAATTTAAGAAAAGTTCAAAAAATAATCTCTTCTCCCTTTTAGTACTAAGATTGGATGTCATAAACTAGACACTTAATCTGTATCTGAACACTATAACCATTAGGCTTCCAATCTTAGACTAAAATGACAACAATTATTACCTTGTATACTGGACCAAATCCTCCTTCGCCAATCTTATTTGCAGAATCAAAATTATTGGTAGCCGCCTTAATTTGTCTTAAACTGAAATAGCCAGTTTGAAGTTCTAGCCCATGAAGTTCTGTAATATGAACAGGTCAAAAAATTTAGCCCATCATAGAGAAAAACAGAAACAATAACATATTCTACTCTTCATTTTCGTCCTAAGAAAGTAACAATCAAAGGTGAAGATAATTATTATGCAAATATTTCTTGTATTTATGGCCTTACCATTGTTTTCATCATCTTTGCCCCCCAAGTAACCTGTCAGTCGAAGGATGATCAATAGCAAGATGACAATCACACATGAGCCAATTACAATTCCAGCAATGGCTCCAGCTGATAACCCTTTACCAGTGTCAACCTTGAAGTCTAAAAGACGAGATAGGAGTTAAGAAATGACAAGTTAAAGTTTAGCAATGAGCCAGTTCTTCCATGTGATATGGACTTACTAGGAGTTACTGTAATTGCAGATATAAGTGGTCCATAGACCCCTCTGTCGGGAATGGCAGTGGTTCCTTTTCCTCTCCAGTATAAGTGAATCTCCAAAGTACTTCCATTTACATCGAAATTGAATTCCCTGGTGATGCCCCTACCTACACCACCAGCTTCCTCCATAATATTGAAATCCTTCAAAACTACTTGCCCCTGTAGTCAAATTAGAGTTTCAGAGGGTATAATCATATGTTCAACATATCTTGGAAAGAAAGGAAACATTGGGAAACTTTCATATCAGACTTACAAGACAAAAGGTCGATGAACATAGCTAATGCATACTTACTTGAATTGATACGTCAAATAAGCGCCTTCCAAGACTGTCAAATGTCTTATTATCAGAATACATTATTTCAGCAAAGTGAAGCTGCACTTTATAATTGCCTTTTAGCAAACATAAGCCATAGTACTTCAGTGATAAAGGTGCAAGGCGTGCAGTATTGTAGAAGTCTGGACCAGTCACAGCAGATGAAGCTCTTGCAGTGTAATGAGCACCATCGTTGCCCACATAAAGTCCCGTACTACTATAAGCCCACTTATTTGCTGAATTAAAAAAGTTTGATGGACCAAAGGTGCTTAAGTCCTCTTCATAATCATTTCCGTCAACATTTGTATGCTCTCCTCCACAATTAATAAACAAGGAATGGTCTGCAAACAAAACAGTAAGGTATATCAGAGAAATTTCTGATACAAATCACAAAAATATCGAATTAATAAAAAGTAAATTTAATTCACAATGTATAAAAAGGAGTAATTATACTTACGGTTGGGATTTATGGGACAAGGAAGGTCCTTCCTTAAGCACCATGAAACTCTGCAAATTATATGTTTAGTTTCAGCACTAATTATTTTTCTAAATTCAATTAGAACAATGGTAAGAAAAATAAAACAATAGAAAGCAATAAAACTTACGAGTTGCTATCTGTGGTTGAGGAGCTGGATACTAAGTTCCTGTCAAGTGATAAAGGGATGATTTTAGAGAATATAATAGATGAATACATTGGTAATAGAAATAAACTTAAAAAGGATCTTGAAAATGTAAGAAAATGTCAGGAGGCATACACTTTCGACTGTTGGCAACTTGTTTGAGATGAAGATGTGAAATTGTTGTAAGATAAATCTCTGCAACGAATATTTCCAAAAAAAATTAATAAATTTTTAAAAACAAGAAAACTTCTTAAGTCTGAACTAGCAGTCAACTACAAACAATCAACATTCTCAACATTAAAAGAAATACTTATAGTTGGGAGATGGACTGACATGTTGTCGTCGCTTTCTAATATCCAATCAGGTACTGCTCCAGTTAATGAGTTGTTAGTTAGGAACCTAAATCATAAAAATTCACATCTCACTTTTAGTCATACAAGAAGAAAAACAAATAAGGATAAAATAGCATAGCCTACTGAAAATAAGATTGTCATAACTCTAATAATACTTCAAATTTTTATTTATCGACTTACAAGTATTGTAACCTTGCCAAATTCTGAAGTCTCTCTGGAATTTGACCAGTTAAGCGGTTGAAGCTCAGGTCCCTATAATAGAAGTCATGTCAACATAAATCAGTAAAATAGTTTTTACACAATCTACGCGACAGAATTTCTGGAAAAATTGGGTCATTTTCAAAAGCATTCATGAGTAATAGTCAACATTTCAAGAAATTTTAGGGATAATTACTATTTTTACATCTTTAGCATATCTCAGTGATTACATGGTGAGCATCGAAATCAACAATCAGGATGAAGAGACACAGCAGTGGACTTCTGGAGCTATCCAAAATGCTTTTATTACTGATCATAATCTTTATCGGTTTTCTTTTTTGAGTTTTTGTTTCTAGGAAATGCCAAAATAACGAGGCAGAATCCAGATAAAGGGAGTCAAACAATTGTGATGTTATATTCAATTTGATTTTCACTATCATCTTCTATGAAAATCATATCAATAATCTTCAAGAGAACTTCAACAAGTATGCAACTTACAATGTTTTTAATGACGCCATTTCCCCTAAATAGGCAGGGATTGAACCAGTAATCAAGCAATTTCGTAGTACCCTGAGTCATGAAATTAAAAAAAAAAAAAAAAAAAGAATCCTCCAATGAGCTATGAATAAAAAGAAGGAATCGAATAGAAAAACTTCTTACAGTAACTTATGTCAACTCACAATTCTTCCATATCTGTCATTCCCTCCAAATTTGGGAAAGCTGAACTTGTCCCACTCAAATCAGATATCCTCCTGAAAATGATGAGATATTAGAAAATTAACAGTTGCTTGAAAGCTTTATCTTGGTAAATGCATCTCGCAATTGTTGTCGTAGAGGACAGAAGACTCACAAGTCAGTTAAGTTTTTTAACTCAGATATAGTAGAAGGAATTGGTCCCTCCATTGATGTGCCTTGCATATCCCTGCAAGAGATTTAAAATTTCTTAATTAACAATGAAAAGATAAAAAGAGGGGGAAAATATAGGATAAAATTTTAAATTAGTTTCTCAAATCAAAATGATAATATAAGGTAGGTAATAATATATGATTTGAAACTCACAATCTTGTTAGTTTGGTCCAATTCCCAATGAAATTAGGTATCTTCCCTGACAAACTACTTCCATCAATTCGGCTGCATGAAGCATTTTAGAAGGTCAGGATTGTGCATAATAGTTTAATGAATTTTCAGATATGCACATTACATAACACTTACAAATCAGTTAAGTTCTTCAAATCGCCAAATGATTCAGGTATTGTGCCTGTAAAATTGTTTGCAGAAATAAGACTGCAAGCATAGAAAAGACATCAGTTATAATTCAAATCAAAATGAACATAGATTAGATATTCACTCAAGACACACTGTTGAACTCAAACGAGAGAAAATTTCAGAAAATTCCCAATGAAATTTGCATGTTGTATGCAAGAATCAGTGGCACATTTAACGATCTCATATTCAAAAAAAATTATATTATGTTAAAAACCAACCAGTTATCCCAAAAATAATAACGATGATGCTATTGGAATAAGCACAAAAAGTGAGCATCAAGCATCCAGTTGGATGTCTTCTGCTTCAATTTTTACAATACATAACTCCATTCCATTTGTTTATAGTAACCATGGTTCTTTACTCAGTGCCACTTCATCACATAGTTAGAGAAAAGAACTTACAGTCTCCTCAAGCGGCCCAAATTTCCTAGGTTGGAAGGTAGAAACCCCTCAAGCAGATTATCTTCCAAAACCCTGTAAATGGGATTCAATTTGGTATCAATATACTATAACAAATTCTTTGTTCAATTAGACAGATTTATGCATTATGACTTACAGGTCTTCAAGCGTAGAAATATCACCAATTTCTCGAGGAATTGAACCGCTAATTCGGTTTCCTAAAAGTGACCTGAAGCGGTCACAAAAAACCAACCAGTTATATGACTTCATTGATGGCTAAATGATCAAATGACACTAGCAAGGCACCTAACAGATAAATTGAAAAGAATAACTTACAAATTGGTGAGAGGGAGCTGAGACAAGCTTGATGGAATTGATCCATTAAGATAGTTGCGAGTAAGATCGCTGTTCAAAAATGAAAGCTTTGCTAAGTATTTTCCAATCACATAAAATCATTTGGTAAAGAGTTGATATTCCACAGTTAATTAAATTCTATTAAAGAATTGCACAGAGATTTTTGCAACGTTGAGTGCCGAAAATTTTAAAAAGAAAACAGGAAAGAAAGTTAATACAAGGTTGTGTTATGCAACTATAAATGGATAGTGTCTCTGAAAGTATTTTTCTTTGTCAGTGTAATGTGATTCCTCTGCCTGTTAACTCAATCTTCAACAGAGAGACACCATATAAACTTGATATTTATCATAGCACACTGAAGTCTAAACAAATAATGAGCCCAATCTCTAGCACAAATCATAATCACTAAGTAAAGGATTATTTTGGGCTTGTTACAGAGAAAAACTCTAACAATGCCCTACATATAGAATATAATGAAGCAACCCAGAAATCTGTCTAAGCTCATTTAGAGACAACCTATTAACAAATGATCTCCATTGTCCATATCCTAGAATATCTGCAAATTGAAATAAATGAAGTATTGAACCAATGAGGTAAGCTAAATTCATAATTTTTTTAAAAAAAGTACACATCACTTACATTACTTCCAGATGAGTCAGATTTCCAAGTTCAGATGGTAGAATTCCAGTCAAATTGTGACCCTTTATCAGACTGTTATAGCAAAAGATAAAAATCAATAAACATTGAAAGGAGGTAAAGAATAATAATTTTGAGAAAGACTAAGAATCTAGCAAGCCAATACAATCAAGCCTGGGAATCAATGACATTTTCGTAGAGTGAATTACAAAATCATTAAAATCTTCTTTTATTGGATATATAAAAAAGAATTACATAATTAGTTTTATAATAGGTATCAATGAACATAACTAGAATCAATTTGGGCATTCAGTTTTGGCCTTTTCTGATAAAGTTTTAAACTGATTGCAGATAATATACAGAAACTATTAGCCTTAGTCTCATCCTAAACATATTCACTATACAATATTCTTCTAATATTCTAAGAAAAAACCCTAATACATTCTGTCTTGATCAATGTTTCATTTCATTAATATTAGCAGAATTTGCAGGATGGGACGAACTTAATAAATTGTATGTGTGATAAGTAAATTCTTACATTTGAGTGACATGGCAAATGGTGTCGTTTCCATCAGAACAGTTACATGCAATACTGCTTTCAACAAGCTTAGCAACGTCATAGTTCCATGAACTCTCATTGCAAGTTGTTCGGCTGATCAAAGTAGCATTCGGGTGCTGCAGTTTTGAAAGTACAGTTTGAAGAGTTTGCGCTGTTGTAGACAAGGCTGAACTTTATCAGTAAATGCACAATTGCAATAATACAAATAGCTATTTAATCAGAATTTTTTTTATAAATATGAGTAATAATGATAAATATAAAATCAGATTCAAAGGTTCCAAGATTTTATTTTCTTATACTTAGAGAAAGTGTCTGATACGTGTATATGTTCTTACTCCGAGCTTTTTCATACATTTAGAGGATTGGATTGTCATATCCATGTCTGATCAAAGTACGTAAAAAAGAAAAGTATATAGTCAAAATTTTCCATTGGACGCGTGAAATTAATGCAACTGTAAGAAATTTGGAAGCATTAGGATAAAAACAAAGACTGAAGGCACATCAGACTTGACCAGGACAAATTTGAGTGATGTCAAAGCCATTAAAATATTCAGGTTTGACCATTGCAGTAATAGTTGACAGCGTGGTCAAACTCATGATGCTACTTTTCTCATTGTAATGTCAAACATGTTCAGATTCAAGAAATATGTTGTCTAAAAAAAAAACAAAAAAAAAAGGCAATTTATAAATTCCCATCTAAAACCAAAAGCACATAATTAAACATATGCTTTATAACCTAGTAAAACATGGCCGACTCATTGCCAGCTATAAGTGGCCATTTATGCTTACCTAAAATGCAGAATGAAGACAGATATACTACTCAAAATAGAGAAAAATAGACAATTGAATAGAAACCCAACCCCATCAAGCAATAATTGGAATCAGATAGACAAATTGCAGAGTCTAATTCCAAATGAAATCATATGAAAGTTTTTTTTTTTCAAGCTGTAAAAAATTTTTGGGCTTTACCCATACATCTCTTTCGCAGACAAATCCAAACAAACTTATTTATGTTGGACCTCACGAATTCATATGAAACTTTTTTAAATTATAATACCCATCACTGCCAAGGGAATAAAGTCTATATGTAATTTAATCACTGATTGAAACCATCCTATGACTGTGATTTTCCTAATCTGTTCACAATTCACATAAACTAATTGCTGGCATAAGAAATGAACTAATTGCTGGCAAGTGATTGTTGAAAACAATGGCCTTCAATAAATAAAGTTCTGAATGTTTTCAAAAATATCTCATATTGACCCGATCAAGTGGTGCACAAATAATGCAAGGCTGGTACGGAAAAGTCTCAAATCTAGGCCAAACAGTGGGGCCATCTACTGTACCAAATAAATGCATGAAATGGACAGGATCAAAGTTGAGTTACAAAGTGAACTTTCCTTTTTCTATTAACAATTATCAAATGCTCGATGCAATGAAAGCCACATGTTTATAAATATAGAAAAACAAAAACAAAACAAACATGGAAGAACACGGCAATTCAGGACTGGAATCAGATTCTTGATCGTCTTATTTTGAAAGCAGTTGACAGATAGTCCAAGAAAATAAGCAACTCAAGTCACTCAACTGATTAAAAAAATCAATTATGTTAATTATCTGTTTGCTTGCTGAGAACTTGTTAGGGATTCAAAAACAAATCTTTAGAATTTTGTTTCATTAACAAATAGTAGAAAATATAGGTTAATGATATGGTATTGTGTTCAATATCCTCCATTTTCCCAGAAACCAAACAGAACAGAGGAAATACCTTAAAGCAAAAATAAATGAATCTAAGAAAACCGATACGAGAAAAGTAGAGAAGAAAGATGATTAATGCCAAAAAAAAAAAAGAAGAAATTGTGTAGAAAGAATGAAGTAGCAAAAGAAAACAAAAACAAGAACTCTCAACTTTACTCAACTCTTTTGAACTATTCCAAGAGTCTTTTCTCGTCACGTAACCTATATGTTTACTCATCAACAAATCAAAACTTCAGCAAAATTATTAGAAAGAGAAAAACAGTCCCAAAGTCTCAATCCTATTTGTTTTCTTTGTCTAGAATTTTCAGCAACCAAACAGAGCCATCTAACCATGGATCATACAAGAACAAAGAAACTAAACCAGGATTATCCAAAATGCCAAAAACACCTTTGTTTTCATACATTTTCTCATTACCAAACAAAATACATAGCATTGCATGTAACGTAACACTTCAAAATTTTACTACTTCATGCTTCAAATTCTGTAAAAGTCTCAAATTTGTTGCAAAAATTGCTAAATCACATATACCCAAAAAATTCATTCTTTTTTAAAAACAAAACAAAAACGTTGGCACCCCAGAAACTAAAAACATAAAGAGAAGAATAAAGATGTATTTTTTCTTCCATTTTCTCTCCAAAGCCTCTGTTCCTAAATGGAGAAAGTTCCATTCAAAAAGTAACAACACCCAAATCCTTAAAAATTTTAATCTCCTTTTTCCCTTGAATTCTCAGGAACCAAACAGAGTAATATTAACTTAAACAGTTAAAACAAGAGAGAAACACTGACAAATATACTGCTAAAAGAACTAAAGAGAGTTTGAATGAAGTTGGTTGATTGTTTGCATACCTTCAGTTTCAGGCAAAAGTTGAGCATTTGATCCAAACTCAGTAAAGCAATTCAAAGCCAAAAACACCAGAAAAAGTACAGAAACCATCTTCAATATGGAGCAAACAAACCCCATATTCCTCTTCTTCCAACCCCAAAATTTTCTCTCCTTTCACTTGTCCTAAAACCAAAAGATATTTATATACTGTAAACCCCTTAAAACAACAAGAACAAGACACAAACCAACGTTACAAACAAAGCAAAACTCAATGGTTTGATGCTCTTCTTTGAACTATATGTTCATTCCCTTTGAGGAGCGAAGTGGAGTAGTTGATATGGTTATAAGGAGGCCGTCGTGTTTATTGAAAGAAAAGCAAACGTGACGTGAGAAAAGGTACACGAGTATATTATGTCTGATTTTTGTGAAGATTTTTGAATTGGTTTTTCGAAATTTTAAAGTAAAAGAAAAGAAAAATGACAAAGGGTGAGTGACAGAATTAAGACTGAGAAATAAGACGGAAGCCTTTGAATAAGGCTTTCTATATCAGCGGGCGCTGTCTTGGAAACTGCTACAGTGCACACACGCTTTGCTTTTGTGGCGGCTGCCGGCATTTTTATTACTTTAGCGGTCGCCCATTCTTAAATTTAAAAATCTATATACGTATTTGATTTAGGAGAAAGTGACATCGCAATACACGTGTGATTTTCGAATTACGTTGATTTGTATTTGATTCATAAAAATAAAAATTTATTTAAAAAAAGTTTTTATTATATCATTTTTATAATATGTGAATTATACGTTATTTTTATAATATGCATATCAATTACACGTGATACATTAATAATATTTTTTTTGTTAAAACAAAATAATTTTGAAAATATTATTTTATATTTTTAATAAATATAATTTTATAATTTTAATTATTATTTTAATATTGATTATTTTTACTCAGAAAAAATACGCGGATCAAATTTCATGATAAAGTTTATATGAAAGTTAGAATGGAGGTGATAAATCTGCTCTCCAAGAGGTTTTTAAAGGCGAAACTCTTGCAAAAAATTTTATATATAATAATATTAAATAAAAATATTTGATTTGATATTTTTATTTTTAATAAAAATTACGTTTTCATCTTAAAAGCATTATTTTTTCAATAAATATTATGTTTTTTATCTTACAAACGTCATTTTTGTTTAGTGTTTTTATTTTTAAAAGGTCATCATTTCAATAAAAATTTTATTTATATCTTAACATCATCTTTATTAAATTTCAAAAAATATTTTTTTATATTTTCAATAAAAATTATGTTTTCATCTTAAAAACATCATCTTTTTAACAAAAACTATATTTTTATCTTATAAACATTATTTTTGTTAAATGTTGAAATATAAACATTTGTTGAGGTTAATTTTTAAGAATTTTTTTTTATTTTTAAGGCATTATTTTTTTTAAATCTTTGAAAAAACAATATATTAATTCAACATATTTTTTCTTTAAATATAATCTTAATTAGTGTCGCCATTTTTTCTTTAAATATAACCTTAATTAGTGTCGCCATTATTAAAATTTAATAGAATCTACGATGGATGTTTATATGATTAAATTAGAGGATTCTCCTCGTTTAGATATCTGTGTAGCAAAAAAAGAAAATGATGTCACATGAACATTCATATGATATTGATGTGGCGAATTATTAAACTTCTAAAGACGATTGACATGATGAATAGATCTATTCATGGCAGAACTCTAGACAGCAGGATCTTTTTCAAGCCTCAGATGTTACGTTTTTAATAAAAAAATTATTTTTATTTCATTTAAATTTTAAAATATATTTCAAAAATTTTAAATATTAATTAAAAAAATTTTAAGCCCTTTATGCTCGTTAAACAAAGCCGAGCTTTTATCAAGACTTTTAAAAGATCAACTGGACCAAATCTGGCTTATTAACATCTTTACTAACAAATGAATTTGAAAAATTTTAAAAATATCTCACAATCAAAATGTAAGTTTTAAAAGTTAAAAAAAATAAATATTATATAAAGATAAATTTTTCTCAAATTTTATATTTTAATTAGAGGTATTCATAAATTATATAAAATCAATTTCAAATTGGATCCATACTTAATATTAATGGTTTATAGCTTGTAGGTCCAGTCCGGTTTGATTTTTTAATTTCAAACTTTTTTCAAATTTGAACCAAAATAAAAAAAAAAATCTCAAACTCATCTATTAAACTTAATTTATGTAATAAAAATTTTTAAAATTTTTTAAAATATATATACATAAAAATAAAAATTTACATATATATTTAGATAATTATAATATTTTAATTATATTATATTTTATTCATGCTAAGTTTGAGTTTTAATTTTTTTATTTAAAACCCGACCTCAAAATTTAAAAGAATTTAAAAATTTACACAAATCTATTTAACGAATTTTAATTTTGTATTTAAATTTTTTCAAAATTTGAATGAATTTTAAATTTTAAATGAATAATCCAACTTTTGAACAAATTTAATTATAATATTGTAATAATAAAAAATAAGTTTGTGCAGATTAACTTCGATTAGTCTCTTTTAAACTTCATTTTCAAAGAAACTGGAATTTTATCAATTTCATATCTTGTTTTAACATTTTGTGTTGATGACAGATTTCAACTTGATTTAATATATTTCTATTTTATAGTTCTCCTACTTAGAAATAAAGTTAAATATCTTTGATGAATAAAGTTTCATTGATTAATTAACTATCACCTTTTAACATTATTTCGAATATTTTATGACATGCATACATATTCTAACCATATAATACATGCATTCACATACTATATATATATATATATATATGACAAAAACTTGTAATGGTATATGAGTATATACTATAATGCTATATAAAAGTATAAAACAAAAGGGTAATAATTCGATCCTTGACTTTAATGTTTTGTGGATAATATATAAAATTAAAATTTTATTATATTTCTTGATTTGATTTAATTATCTGTGGATTTGTTTTTTAATTATTATCTCACTTTCATAGAATTGTTTTTAAAAGAATTTTAAGAGAATGTTGGGTTCAATAGTAATGACCACTTTTAATTTTTTTTTTTAATGCTACTTCAAAATTTTTTTTCTATTACTATTCCAAAGTTCATGCTACTATTATTATTTTTATTTTGGTTGCATCATGCTATTATTTTGAAAACCATGTTTTACTCATCAAAATACAATTTGACAGATATATATATATATATATATATATTATAAAAGAAGTCATATATAATAAAAAAAATTATAATAGTTGAGATTTGAATTTTAAATTTATTAAATATTATTTTTTAAAAGTTTTTATAGGAATTAATTAAATTAAGTTTTAAATTTTGAAATATCATTATTTCCTCCACTGTTAAAATAGCTTGGTTTTTAATTCTTTTTAATTAATAATTTTTATATCAATCTAATTTAAATCAAACACATTTTTCATTAAAAATTTATCAAGTTCAAAATAACCCATTTCATCAATTTTCTTGCAAGGGCACAAATCATTTAAAAAAAAAAAAACACATAATAACCACTTTGTTTCTTAAAATGGTATATGATTTTCATATATACACTTCTCTTACAATTGAGGTAAGTAAATCTATTTTTTTATGAATTTTTTATTTTTAAAATAATTAAAAATTAAATTCTAATCACTAAAATATTTTTTATAAGTGTCTAACGTAACCGTACAGCTGTTGCTCCTCCTACTAATGAGGTAAGTAATCCAAATTTAAGAAAAAATTAAAAAAAAAGGGTAAATCTCGCATCACGCCTGGAAGTTTTCAATTGGAAAATGTTTTCTGGAAGTTTACTATTAAATTACCTACCCCTCATCAATCTGACTTCCACGAAATAATAACCCTGTAAATTAAAGACAAGCAACTACACAAATTGTCCAAACATTAGTATATATTATCTAGAATTATTGGATAGAATAATAAGTTAAAGCCAAAAGGGAGATATACATTAATAAATTAATTAAAGTTTTCTTTTTTAATTGTTAATTTTAATATTAATATTTTAAAAAATTATTTATCCAGTTAAATTTCCAACCTTCTATTAAATTGTTTGATTGTGACATTATTGGAGACAGAAATGGGGCCATGGATAAAAGGTTTCATGGTCAGCAAGATTTGGGTGTGAACTCTTGCCAGCTTGCATATGAACTGTCCTGCAAAAGTGAGCAAAATTATATATGATAATTTAAAATACAATATGATAATATAATATGAATATAATAAAAATAAAAATATGATAGTGATATGATTTAAAATTATAGTAATAATTATATATAGATTTAATAAAATCAAAAATAATATATTTTATGTTTTCATATCAATATAAATTATGATGTATAATTTTCATATAAAATACGATATAAATATATTAATTTTAATATTTTATACTATATAAATTAACAAATTATCAGATAGGCAAAATCAAAATTTGAAAAAGCGATTTGATTCTTGTTTTCATCAAACAGGTTCACACCTTGAAAATCTAGGTGAAATTTTTTCTTTGTCAAGAAGTCATGTTTGGATGATCAAAATTAATCAGCGAAGAAAATCATTATAAGAGCTGGTTGTTTTCTTTTTTTTTTTTTTTTACTTTTTTTAGTTAATTAGTTAAACCAAAAAAAAAAAGATTTTAATCCCAAATTTTAGTTATTGTTTTGGCCTATAATTTCTCACATCTCATGTCTTTGGTTGTTTATTCTTTTTTTTTTTAAGGGGCAACGGAAGGAGCTAATTACTTCGGTTTTAATTAATTATAAAAGGAAAATTATATAATGGAAATTTACTCAATTATTTCTTTAATATTGCTAATTCCTACCACATGTTCAAAATTGCCATTCCTGCCATGGCCATGGTAGGTGAAAGGGACAGGAGAAATGAAAGAAAAAATAAATGAAAAATATTCCTTAAAGATTTTTTTTTTCTAACTTATACCTTAGGGGCTTATTAGATGAATAGGTCAAGATTATTATCTAAGAAAACACTCTTATATGTAATTAAGTTAATTACTTGAATACAACATGTAATAAATTACCTGGAATTTGCTTAAAGAAAAGGTAAAAAAAATAAAGGCAAACTGCATTGGAAGATAAATTAATGAAGATAAAAAAAATCAAATTTAAATTCAATTGGATCGTATAATCATTTTTAAAAAATAATATTTAATAATTATGAATTTAAAAATTAATATCTCCATTTTTTTTAGATTACGATTTTTTTTATATTAAAAAAATGTAAGAAACAATAGGGAAAATGTGGGGTCTTAGCAATTTATCAACGTGACAGAGAATTAAACTTTAGATCATGCCATTTTTCTAGGCACCTGGATTTTTACCAGTTTTCAATTCAGAATCATAGTCAAAATGAAAGATTAATCAAACATTTTTAAAAAGTCAAAGATCTTAAAAAAGAGTACTCTTTGGCCCCTAATGATTCTCCTTATCTTCAACTTAACCTTTTGGAAAACTTGATGTATGCCTGCTGGAAGGCGAATCAATCAAATGCATGATTAAGAAGAAAAATGATATTGGAAAATTTTCTATTTTAAACATTTAAATAGATAATCAA